ACATCCTGTGTGATTTATATTGAGATAAGATCCTCGAAGATTGTGCCTGGTTTCTTCTGGACTTCAGTTTGAGCCTTCTTTTACTGAGTTTGCTTTGGATTCTTTCAGTGTGGTAAATCACAGCCATTAAGTATGACAAAATGCTGAGTCCTGTGTCTTTCTAGCAAATCATCAAATCTGGAAGGGGTCTTGAGGACTCCAGCAGTCATTCATTCTGATTTCTAAAATTGCGTACATAGGTCCATAAAAGTCTATGTAGTTTCTCTTTGAGGTCAAGGTATGCCATATATGGTGCCACCTATATGCACAGCTTTGTGGTAAACATGGTAGGGAAACTAAAAATTATAATAATAAAAATACTCTGCTGTGTATGGCCATTCACCAAAACACACATATATATTGAGGGTCTACTAAGGAACAAAAAGGAATGGGGCAGTGGTTGGATGTGGGGATGATAAAGGAAAAAGAAGTGGCCACAATATGTCTGGTTTGAGTAACAAGACAGAAATTAGGGGGACTAACTGATGTTCTTCAGGCACCTAAAACCACATGCATGCCTTAGCCCTTCTCTACTCCTTCTCCCCACCCCCTCCCACATTTCCTCAAACCCAGATATTCTCTGTCTTTTCTACGGTCATTAAAGCTGATGCAGCCATTAAAGAGTGAGTTTGGTCTATCTCATTTGCTTGAGAGAATGGACAAGATGTACTATCAAATGAGAATATATTATAAATAAATGAACACAGTTTGACCCATTTTAGTAAAAATAAGTGGTGACCAGGAAACAAAAACCCACCTTAAAAGAAGCAATAAAGAGATAAGGACATGGATTCTGAAACCAGTGTAGTGGCTTCCAGTCTCCAAACCCAAATTTCATAACTGTGAAACTTTTGACAAATTCCTTATCTTTCTGTACCTCAGTTTTTTCATTTGTTAAAGGGAGAAAATAACACTGTACCACATGGAGCTGTCATAAAGGTTAAAAGAGCTGATGCATGTAAAACATTCAAAACAACATCTAATACATAGTAATACTGTAGTTTTTGTTCTCTTATGATGATTACGGGTGCATCTCCATGGCCAAGGTCATGGCCACATGATACATGCATATAGGCTCAGTGAGTACAAATACAGAAAAGGCGTGGAATGATAACCAGTGGATAATGACATGAGAAACATCCAGCCTGGAGACGTGGATTTGTGGAAACTCTGTAGATCATTGAGAGTAAAGTGTCTTCAGCGCAAATTAACTCACTTATAGGGTGAATGACAAGTTAGACAACAGCAAGGATCACGACAGATGGTGGGAAGTAAAGTTGTTTTACAGACGGAAGAAAGACACAGACCCTAAAAAGGAAAACAAAAGGAATTCACAGAGGCCAGGAAAGGACCTTCAAGTCAGAGATTTGGCAGTAGAGAGGTCCAAAAAGAGAGCCAGGGGAAGGAGTGGGGGTCAAAAAGGACTTTTTTTTTTTTTTTTTGAGATGGAGTTTTGCTCTTGTTACCCAGGCTGGAGTGCAATGGCGCGATCTCGGCTCACCGCAGCCTCCCCCTCCTGGGTTCAGGCAATTCTCCTGCCTCAGCCTCCTGAGTAGCTGGGATTACAGGCACGTGCCACCATGCCCAGCTAATTTTTTGTATTTTTAGTAGAGATGGGGTTTCACCATGTTGACCAGGATGGTCTCGATCTCTTGACCTCGCGATCCACCCGCCTCGGCCTCCCAAAGTGCTGGGATTACAGGCGTGAGCCACCGCGCCCGGCCCCAAAAGTGACTTTTGTGAGACCTGCTTAAGTCAGGCAACAGTGGTGGAAGTTGCCCTTTAGTAGTATCTGGCGAGTAAAAGATACTACTGGAACAGCCATTTAGTAGTATCTGGGGAGTAAATGAAAATGTAAAGGGGTGGGGACAGGTAGTGCACAGAATAGTTACTCAGGACATGTGTGTGAGAAAAACAAGGAATAAGTAGAGCTTGACAGGCAAGGAAGGATGAAATAGGTTGGAAATGAGGCTTGAAATATGAAAGCTATAGATTATGAGAAATTAGTTGGTTAATAAGGAGGAGACTAAACAACAAAGTATGAAAAACAGAGGATCAGGCTGGGCGTGGTGGCACATGCCTGTAATCCATGCACTTTGGAGGCCAAGGGGGGCGGATCACCTGAGGTCAGGAGTTCAAGACCAGCCTGGCCAACATGGTGAAACCTCATCTTTAAAAAAAAAAAAAAAAAAAAGAAAGAAAAACAGAGAATCTAGACAAGTTTGGTTGGGGAGGGGTATGTGGGTCTAATAACAAAGGGTTCAAGCAATCTTAGAAGAGGAATGATCCCATCTCCACTGAGGATATAAGGAGGCTTACAGAGCTGGAAAATTTTACGTACAACCTTCCCCTGAAATACACAACTCTGAGTGATATGCAGATCACCCTCAGTTATAAGATCTGTTAACAGAAATATTTAAGGAGCCCAGTATAAAAGACTACAAGACTTCTACTCCTCCAAATAATTTAGGATTTATATTCAAATATTGAGACAAACCACCAGAAAACCATGACTTTGGAACTTAGTTTTGTCTGTATTCTGAGTCCTTTAGTATTAAAAACTAAGGAAAGAAATAAAAGATGTACAAAAGAACCAAACAGAAATTAAACAACTGAAAAATACAAAACACAAAATGAAAACTCATTGGACAAGCTCAACAGTAGACTACATATGGCAGAAAAAAGAATCAGTGAGCTGAAAAAAAGTCAATAGAAATTAACCAATATGAAAAAAGGGGAAAAACAGACCAGAAGAAGCAGGAAAAATGAAAGCACAAGAGACCTGTAAGACAGTAACAAATCACTGGAGTTCCAGAGAGGAGAAAGAGTAGGGGTGAAAAAATATTTCAAGGAATAATGGTTGAAAATTCCCAAATTTGGCAAAAGGCATAAACCTACATATCAAAAAGCTGAAGAAAAACTCAAAAAAATTCCATGTCATACACCTCATAACCAAACTTGTGAACACTACAAAAAACAAAACAAACAAAAAACCCCTTTGAATGCAGGTTGATAAAAATGACACGCTTACGAACTAGGGAACAATGGTTTAAATGGTAATAGATTTCTCATCTGAAACCATAGTGGACAGAAGGAACAAACGTGTTTCTCAAATACTAAAAGAACTGCAGACCTTAAATCTTATATCCCACAAAAATATCCCTTAGGAATGAAGGGAACATAAAGACCCTTTTAGAGAAAGGAAACCAAAGAACACCTGTCACCAGCAGACAGAGCCTAGAAAAAAAGGCTACAAGTTCACCAAATAGAAAATGTTAATAGAAGGTGGCTTACAATTTCAAGAAAGAATAATAATGGAATGGGTAAAGAGATCAACAAGCAATACTCCCTGTGACTTCTGTAAGATATATTTGACAGTTGAAGCAAAAATTACATTTTCCAACATGGTGCTCAATTTTGAAGAGGAACTACTTTAGACAATTATATTAATAGGCAAGGTAAAGGGACCAATGGAAGTAAGGTTTCTATACATCTAAGTGCTAAACTTTTCATACCATTAACTGCGATTATGTTACATATGTACAGTGGACTACCTAAAGCAACCACTAAAAAATTAATACAAAGAAATATATTTAAAACACTACAAATATATCAAATGGAATTCTAAAAAAATGTTAAAAGACCAAAAAAAAAAAAAAAAAAAAGAAAAAAAACCCAAAAAACCCAAGGAAAAAAACAACAGGAAACACACACAAAAAAAATCATAAAATAGCAGACATAACACTAACATAATTATTGTAAACTTAAATAGTCCAAATACACCAATAAAAGACAGAAGTATGCAAACTGGGATCAGGCAGAGTGACTCAGACCTGTAATCCCAGCACTCTGGGAGGTTGAGGCAGGCAGATCACCTGAGGTCAGGAGTTCAAGACCAGCCTAGCCAACATGGTGAGACCTCCTCTTTACTTAAAATACACAAATCAGCTGGGTGTGGTGGCGGGCACCTGTAGTCCCAGCTACTTGGGAGGCGGAGGCAGGAGAATCGCCTGAACCTGGGAGGCGTAGGTTGCAGACTGCGCCACTATACTCCAGCCAGGACCACAAAGCAAGACTCTGTCTCAAAAAACAAAACAAAAACAAAAACGAAAAAACTGGATATAAAATCACAACCCGAATATATGCTCTTCACAAGAAACTTACTCCAAATATAGCGGTATAGATAAGGTTTAAAAAAGTATAAATCATGCAAACATTAACAAAAATGTAAGAGTGACCATATATGGATTAGATAAAGAAATGATAAAGAGTATTAACAGGAGCAATAAAGGACATTGCATAATTATAAAAGGGTCAATATACCAAGAATACCAAGCAAACCTACATGTGTATGTACCAAACAACAGAGCTTTAAATTACATGGAACAAAAACTGATAGAACTTCAAGGAAGAATAGATAATTCCACAATTATAGTTCAGGACTTCAACATCCCTCTCTCAGCAATTGACAGAAATACTACACAGAAAATCAGCAAGGACATAGGAGACCTAAATAACACCATAAACTAAGAGGATCATACAAACATTTATAGAAACGTTACCCAGTGACAGCAGAACACACATTTTTTTCAAGCAGCTATGTAAAACAAGACACCCTATATCCTGGGTCATAAGGAAAAAAGTCAACAAATTTAAACAGTAACATCAAATGTAAAACAAATTAGATATCAATAACAAATAAATAGCATGGAATACTCCAAACACTATAAACAACATACTTCTAAATAATTCATGGGTTAGAGAAGATGTCTCAAAAGGAATCAGGAAAACTTAGAACTGAGTAAGATAATCAAAAACATATTAAAACTTGTGGGATGAAACTAACAGCAGTGTAAGAAAAATGTATAGAACTTAAAGCTTATATTAAAAAACAAAAAAGCCTTAAATCAATAACCTAAACATCCACCTCAAGAAACCACTGAGGTGAATACAATCAAAGCCAAGTAGAAGAAAAGACACAATACAGAGCACAGCAGATATCAGTGAAATGAAGAGCAGAGAGTGGAGAAAAATCAGAGATATAAAGTGCTGTTTCTTTGAAATGATCAGTGAAATTGATGTATGTCTACAAAGACTGACAATGATAAGTGATACATTTCCAATATTAAGAATACAACAAGGAACATAAGTACAGATTCTGCTGCCATCAAAAGGTAATATTTAAAAGAATGCTACAAATTAGAAAATTTACATAAAATGAACAATTCCCTAAGAAAATCTATAAAAATTCATTCAATATGAAATACTCTGAATAGTTCTATAGCTATTAAATAAAATAAATACATAATTAAAAAGCATCTAAAAGTAAATCTCCAGGTCCCACTTGTTCACTGGAGAATGCTATCGAACATTAAAGGAACAAATAACACTGATTCTATATACCATCTTCCAAAAAAAAAAAAACAGAAGAGAATTCCTTCCAATTCATGTTGGGAGGCTATTGATCATCTAGACATCAAAACCAAATAACATTTATCATTATCACTCATGAAATTAGAGGAGAACTTCCTCAACAAAATACTAGCAAATGAAATACTGTAGCATGGTATATATACAAAATTATACTCCATGACCAAGTAGGGCTTATCACAAGGACGTGAGGCTCGTTCAATACTCAAAACTCAATCAATGTAATACACCATATCAACTGACTATAGAAGTAACAGCATACAATTAAATCAATTGATAGAGAAAAAGCGTATGACAAAATTCAACACTTCTTAATAACAAAAAAATCCCAGCAAATTAGGAATAGAGGGAAACTTAATAAACTCAACAGGGAAACTCTTTGGAAGAAACTTTCAACATCATACTAATAAGAAACTGTCCTTTTGATTTGGGTAGAAAAAAAAATAGAGAAACTGAACATTTCCCCCCTAATATCAGGAACAGGGCATGGATGACTTGTCACTCTTCATATTCAACATCACACTGTTATTACCTAGTACAATAACATGAGAAAAGCAAATAAAAGGTATACAGATGCGAAGTAAGAAAAAAGACTGTCCCAAATTGCAAATGACATTTCTATGCTTAAAATCCTAAGGATTCTCCCAAAAGAAATGACAAGAAACAATGAGTTTAGGAAGGTTGGAAGACAGTAAAATAAGACTGAAAAAATAATTATGTTTCTGTATACTAGCCAGTATCATGTGAAATTGAAATTTTGAATATCAATGCCATTGACAATCACTGAAAAAACTATGAAGCTATAAACCTTATTTAAAATGTATAGGAGCTATTTTGTGTAAACTATAAAACAGTAATGAAATATATCAAAGAATATTTAAATAAATGAAAAGATATGCCATGTTCATGAATTGAAAGGCTAATAAAGATGCCAATTATCAACATATTGATCTACAGATTTAACTCAATTTCTATCCAAATCCAAGCAAGAACATTTAAAAAACAGAAAAACCAATCCTAAAATATATATGGAAAGCCAAAGAAACTAGGAATGCTAAATGAATTTTAAATAAAAATAGTAAGAAAGAAATCACATTACCCAATTTTGAGATTTACCATACAGCTATAGCAATCAAGTGAACCAAAAGATAGGAATCAAGAAAAATTCTGAGTGTTAGTGTTTAAAGCCCATTAAAAAAGGATTTTAAAAATCAAAGACCTAAACAGTCTTAACTGGTGCAATAAAATGTGCACGTTCATGTTTCCTTTTATCGTTAAATATAAAAGTATTTCATAACTCAAGCCTTCACATTTCTCATAAAAACAAGTACTTCCCAAGAGACAATGTGGTAGAACAAAGACATTATGTTCACAGACCTTCCCTTACTTTCCTGACATAGGACAGAAATGTACATACAAAACAACAGTATAAAGAAGCAGTTTGCATTTCATTTTCTTTTCTATGTCACCTCTTTTTATAAAAATTCCTGAGATAACACTGCACTGTAAACTAATGAGAAAGATGAAGCTAAAGGTTTTCCTAAGTGCATAATAACCACTGGGTGTTTTTCCAGGATGAGTTCAGATGGAGAATAAGGCTCTAAGCTGTGTGATTTTCTAATATGACTCCTTAGGTGACAGATAATATTCTGCAACAGGTTTTCTCACAGTGAAGACACCTGTGGGGTTTCTCTTTGGTATGGTTGATCAGAAGCCATGTAAGATGCTTCCTCTTGCAAAAGATTTTCCTCAGTGGTGACATTCAAAAAGTTTTTCCCCAATAAAAGTTCTTCGATGTTGACTGAGGTCTGCCCACTTGTGAAAGGTCTTCCTACATCTGTTACACTGATAGGATTTCTCCCAGTATGCATCCTTTGATGCTGAGTGAGGGATGAGCTGCGACTGAAGGCCTTTCCACATTCACTACACTCATACGGTTTCTCTCCAGTGTGGATGATGGAGTGTCGAATGAGGTTTGTGCTCCAGCAAAATGTTTTCCCACACTCGATGCATTCATAGGGCTTCTCTCCACTATGAATCCGCTGGTGCCTTGTGAGGCCTGACCTGCGGTTGAAGGCCTTTCCACACTCCATGCACTCATAGGGCTTCTCTCCAGTGTGGATGCTGAAATGTCGAATGAGGTCTGCCCTATTGCTAAAGGCTTTCCCACATTCTTTGCACTCAAAAGGTTTTTCTCCAGTGTGGGCCCTTTTATGCAAGATAAAGGTAGAGCAGTGGGTGAAGGCCTTTCCACATTCACTACACACATAAGGCTTCTCCCCAGTGTGAATCCGCTGGTGCCTCTTGAGGTATGATCGGTGGTTGAAAGCTTTCCCACACTCGAGGCACTCAAAGGGCTTCTCCCCAGTGTGGATGACATAGTGATGAATTAGGGCTGCGCTCTCACAGAAGGCCTTCCCACACTCACTGCACTCATAGGGCTTCTCCCCTGTATGAGTCTGCTGGTGCCACATTAGGTATGACCTGTGTTTGAAGACCTTGCCACATTCGAAGCACTCATAGGGATTCTCACCACTGTGGATAATGTAGTGTCGAATGAAACCTGGCCTATCTCGAAAGGCTTTGCCACACTCTTTGCACACAAAGGGTTTTTCTCCAGTGTGGCTCCTGTTATGCAAGACAAAAGTGGAGCGGTGAGTGAAGGCCTTTCCGCATTCACTGCACTTGTAAGGCTTCTCTCCACTGTGAATCCGCTGGTGCTGTGTAAGGTGTGACTTGCGGTTAAACGCCTTCCCACACTCCATGCACTTATAGGGCTTCTCCCCAGTGTGGACCATGTGGTGTTGCAGGAGGTATGTGCTTTTGCTAAAGGTTTTTCCACACTCTGTGCATTCATAGGGCTTTACTCCAGAGTGAATCCTCTCATGCCGAGCAAGCAGGCGTTTCTTGTTAAACACTTTTTCACATTCATTGCATTTAAAAATATTTTCCTCTTCCTGAATAACTGGATTTTTACCTGATCCATGTGAGTCACAGTCATGGACATCATCTCCTAAGGAGACTTGATCCTGTATAATCCTTGAACACACACTATCAGCTGTCTCTAAACCATCATGTTTGGGGCTCATTTTTCTAGGAGGGGTCTCCTTTTGGGAATCTATCCCTGGTTGCAAGTGTTCTCCCTGCATTTCTGAAAACCAATCCTGATCCTTGGGTTGCCCCAACTGGAAGTCTCCTGAAGCTCCCTGTCTTAGTTGACCCCAGAATGAGATTCCTCCAGACAAGGCTAGCTGGCAAGTGGTAGGTTCTGTGTTCTTGGGTTTTCCTTTGTCACCTGAAAGAAATCCAACACACAGGAGGGCCTGTTAGTAATGTAAAAAGAGAAGAAACAAAATCACCACTTCAGTAAAGAAAATGAAGTTATAAATGGTGCCTTTATGTCTGTTATATTTTGCCATATTGAACCCCAGATATATAATTTGTTTCTTCTCTTTTCCTTGGATTTCTGACTCCTTAAAAAAGAGACAAAGCAGAGAGATCAGGTGAGGGAACAGGGACTAGAGTGGAGCTATCACCTCAATTCGAGACTGAATATTTATATAAAGGTAACTCATTATGGGTTCCTAAACAGTTTATCCTAAATAGATGACTCTGGCTGACGGCTGGTGGCACCAGAAAGACCAACCAGTCAGTAGAAGGTTAGGCTTCTGAGCCATAAGATACCAGCTGAACTCTGGAAAAGGAATGAAGGCTGGAAACTTCACATGGCAATGTGGGCAATGTCACGTGGGCAATGATTTGATAAACTGTGCTTATGTAATAAAGCTCAATAAACTCTAAAAACCAGAGCTTCAGTGGGCTTCGGGGGTTCACAATCCTCTGTGCACATATTTTCACACATCATTGCTGGGTGGGTAACATGTCACTAAGGAAGCTTTGTGTTTGGAACATCTTCAGCCAGCTCCACATCCTGTGTCTCTTCTAATTTGTATGCTTGTCTGTAATAAACATAACTGTGAGCATAATAGGTTTTAGAAAATTTTATGAGTCTTTTTAGCAAGTTAAGAAACCTGAGGGTGGTTTCAGGAAATCCCTGAATTTGCAGTTGGAGTTAGAGGATTTGGGTAGACCTGAAAGTCCCGGAGGACTGTGTCCTCAATCTTGAGTTTGGCTAATCCTGGGAAAAACATCAAGACAGTTTTCCAATAGGAGGTACCCAATGAAGTAAGTCCTACTGGTCACAAGACAAAGTAGGAAAGACACTGTAGCCTTAGGAGACAGAATATACAAAGGAGCTATAGCACACGAGTGGATGGGGTTGATGAGAGGCTAGGGGAAAGATGAGGCAGAGGGGAACTGATTCCCAAGATTCTGACTAGGTGACAGCTGTGAAGAGCAGTGGCACTCCCAGAAAGGGGCTCATAAGGCAGTGTGGTACTGGCATAGACAGAATGCAAACTGGGAATAAAGAAAAAGAGAGAGTTCAGAAATCCACTTACACATAGCTGGGGCTTTGGTAGATGGCAAGGAGGCATAGCACCTCAGTGATGAGAGACTACTACGGACACAGAGCTAGAAAAATTGGCTACCCACATGAGGAATAGAAATATTGTATTCTACCACATTCCATACTGAGAACCAACTTCAGATTGATAAAGACTTAAATGCCAAATGGCAAGTTTTACACCTTACAATAAAATAAACAAGAATACCTTTTTGATATTGGGTAGGACAACATTTTTTCCACAAGGCACAAAATAATCAGGTAAATAAACCATAAATCAGACTACACTATGTAAGAAACTAGAAACTCTAGTGAACAAAGGATACTTTAAAGAGAGTGGAAGGACAAAATTAAAAACTAGACAAATATACCTGTAGCAAATATAACTGATAAAAGATAGGTACGCAGAATGTATAAAAATCAAATCAAAAAGAGAAAGCCAAACAAGTTAATTGAAAAATAGGCATTTATCATCAAATAACGTCTCACAGAAGAAAATACAGATTGGCTAAGAATCATATGAGACACTAAACCACCTTACCAATGAGGAAAATGCAAATCAAGAGCACAGGAGATCCATTTGATCAGCAAAAATTGAGGAGCCTTACAGTTTCAAGTACTAGATAGGATACAGATCAATGGAAACGTCTAAAAATTCCTGAGAGAAATTTTTTGATATAGGTCCTTTAGAAAACAATGGGAATGATCTTGCAAACTAGAACATTTGCATAGTCCATAATCTAATTATTTCACTCCAGAAACATTAAAAATGTGCCCCTACACATGTGAAAGATGAACAACATATTTGAATGTCCACAGCATCACTGATTATGGAGGATAAAAACATGTAAACAATTAAATACTCAGACAGTGAATGAATATAGGAATACATTGTGAACCATGAACATTTAATTATTTTATTTTCTTCAAGGGTAAAGAAGTTGAGCCTGTTTTTATGTTGAGTACAGAAAGGATGAAGTTATAAAACAGGCATAATATAACTGAAGAAAACATGTCCATGAAAAGGTGCGATGTAAACTCTTGAAAAAACTGACCGTGGCCAAGAGCAAGACCTCTTCCACCACGGGAAAAGAAAAGCTACTGATAGGAGAGGTTGAGGTGAATGTGTAAGGGTTGCTGATTAAGCAATGTAAGTAGATGATACTGTCAACATGAAAACGTGCTGATACATCATCAGCAGTCATACGCCGAGACACTGGTGGATGGGGAAGTGTTAACTGTCTGGAACAAGGTCTGAATGCTGGAGTACCCCATGCAGGAAAAAGAGCTGACCAGAGGCATAAAGCAGATACAAATATTAAGTTTTGGGAATCTATTAACATCCCCTAGAAAAAAGATGGCAAGAGCTTAGAATAAGAGCACAAGGAGGGCAGGTGTGGTGGCTCACGCCTGTAATCCCAGCACTTTGTAAGACCAAGGCAGGCGGATCACCTGAGGTCAGGAGTTCACGACCAGCATGGCCAACATGGAGAAACCCCTTCTCTACTAAAATACAAAATTAGCTGGGCGTGGTTGCACATGTCTGTAATCCCAGCTACTCGGGAGGCTACGGCAGGAGAATCGCTTGAACCTGGGAGGTGGATGTTCTGGTGAGCCAAGATTGTACCACTGCACTCCAGTCTGGGCAACAAGAGTGAAACTCCATTTAAAAGAAAAAAAAGAAGCAGAAGGATAGGTCTGATGGAGGTGGTAGAGGGATGAATTCAGGAGACATGTATAATGTGAAATCAAAAGGATCTAGAGATGGCTGGATGCAGGGACTCATGTAGGAGGTGGAGGGGTTGACCTGTCTGAGGCTGGGTCTAGTCCCCTAATCTGCCTGGATGGCAGAACCATTCACTGAAACTTGGGAGGTGGCAGGAACAAGCATGGTCATGGGTTCCTTCTTAGGCATGTTGAGTTTTGTGCTTTTCAAATTTTCAAGTGGAGATGTGGCACTGAGGACGGAATGATCTAGAACAGACTCTGAAAGGCTAAAAAGGGACTGCACAGACATTCATGGACTGGATGAGCAGCTCAAGGGACTTCTGCATGCAGAGACTACGGCTCTGCAATAGCACCAATCCACACACCTGACAGACGGTCTCAGTGCCCTCGGCAGCCTAGGTGTGGGACAGAAAGGTCAAATGTCACCTTGAGGTTTTTGGAAAACAGGAGATATAGAAAGACATGGAAAAAGGACTGCTTCTTAGTGTCTGACTGACACTCAGGGGATGGGTGGAAGGAGAAGATGGGAAAGGCTGGTAGGCAGAATATAACCGGAAAGAGAAATTGGGAGAGTAAGAAAGGCCCTGTTCCCCAGAGTTCAGAAGAAAATGTGACACAGCATCACTCTTTAGGGTTAATAATGACATTGTGATGAGTCACTTACTATCAGAAACTATCCCATCAAATAATTACATCTTCAAACTGCCCAATGGCATAAAAATATTTTTTTCTTTTTTAAATAAAAATAATTTCTAACAGCATTTTTCAGGAACAGACTGAGTGTAGTGGACAGAGTAGGTGCTCACCAAACCATCTGCTCTTCTCCTTGGACAGGCAGCTCAGCCAAAATTCCTAGACTCACGAGGCCAGGTACAGCCAAATGCCTAGTACCCAGGCATGAAATATGGGGGGAGATGGTATTTCTGGAAGTGGGTGTGACTTCCCTTATTCCCTTAATTCTCTACCAGCAAGAGGATGTCAGGACAACCTGAAAGCAACAGGTTAATGACAGAAGGGCCCTGAGTCCTGAATAACTGTGTGGTAGAGAATTCTCTGTTGACCCACACAGACCTCGGTATGAGTGAAAAAGAATTTTCACATGTGAACCATTTAAATTTTGGAGTTTGTTGGATATAGCAGCTGGTGTTAACTTAGCCAAGCTCATATACAAACTTCACTAGGGTCACAGAGTAGGTAACTGGGAAACCAGGTTTCAGGCCCACAAGGTTGAAGCCCTAGGACCAATTTCAGTTCATATACCTCACTCCTCCCCAGGAGTGGTCACAAGTGTGATAGGGCTGTGAGAACAGAGAAACCACAGGTCAAAGGGCTCCAAGGCTCCCAAACCCTTAGAGAAGCCATAGTGAGAAGTTTCCCAAGAGATCCCAGGGCCAGTGGTCTCCTCACAGTCTCAAACCTGCAGGGATTCCCACTTGTCCAGATCTTGGCTCCTACCTGGATGGGTGCCTTGGGAGAGGTCTTCCTTCCTGGTCCATGGCTCCTGCCCATGCTCTAGGTGGTAGATCAGCTCAGGTCTGGGAACAGGACACCCTGTTTATGAATAAAGAAAGTGGACACATGGATATTGGTGAAAGGAAATACAGATCTTCAATCTAGTCGGGGACTTCAGGATAGGGACCAGATCTTAGAAGGAATCTGCTCCTGTGCATGGGAACAAAAAGCTGGCATGTGACCTGGAAACCAAGAGCAGGCCATGTCATGCTGCCATAGAATCTCTACTCCTGATAATAAGTCAAAAACGAGTACTTATAGGCTATAACCATGTCCAGGGGACTATGTCAAGCATTTAAATGGATTATGTAATTTTAAAAGTGAACAATATTTATGGAATACTTTAGAGAAAAGTGATATACTTTAAATATTAAATATTGATTATTTTCTTTTTTTTTTTTTTTTTGAGACGGAGTTTCACTCTTGTTACCCAGGCTGGAGTGCAATGGCGCGATCTCGGCTCACCGCAACCTCCGCCTCCTGGGTTCAGGCAATTCTCCTGCCTCAACCTCCTGAGTAGCTGGGATTACAGGCATGCACCACCATGCCCAGCTAATGTTTTGTATTTTTAGTAGAGACGGGGTTTCACCATGTTGACCAGGATGGTCTCGATCTCTTGACCTCGTGATCCACCCGTCTCGGCCTCCCAAAGTGCTGGGATTACAGGCTTGAGCCACCGCGCCCGGCCTAATATTGATTATTTTCATTCAAAACAAGGTATGTATCTTCATTGATCTAAGTCTTTTTATTTTTTAACATCCTAAGCAAGGTTTTATAATTTTTTTTCTCTAAACCACAGACTCAATGAGTCTGTCACCTAGACTGGAGTGCAGTGGCATGATCTCGGCTCACTCAGCCTCCCAAGTAGCTGGGACTACCGGCGTGCGCCACCACACCTGGTTAATTTGTTTTGTATTTTTAGTAGAAATGAGGTTTCACTATGTTGGCCAGACTGGTCTCGAACTCCTGACCTTAGGTGATCCACCTGCCTTGGCCTCCCAGAGTGCTAGGATTACAGGCATGAGCCACGGTGCCCAGCCATTAAATGAGGATTCTAGTTGAGAATTACCTCACAGTATCCCCAGGAAGTCCATATCATAATCAACACCATTTTGTTGACAAAGAAACCCAGGCTCAGGAGGTAAAGTGATTTGCTGAAGAGCACAGAACTGGTGAATGGCTGAGTCAGTAAGGACCTGCTCCTGCCATCTCTGTCTGTGCTGTTTAACCACAAAGCTTCACAACGCTGCCCAGAAAGTGCCAGGTCCAGGTATGCTGACGACAATAATCGTGATGAGGATGACAATAACAGTACTGGTGGCAACAGAGATTGCAATGGCTCCCTGCACACAGCCTGGTCTCCCAGGTGCTGTTCTGAGCCCTTTTCATATAATAACCCTTGACCCTGACAATAGCCCTGGGATGCGAACACGATAAGTCCTCATTTGAACAATCAGAACACTGAGGCACAGTCAAGTGCGGTAACTTGCCCAAGGCCACAGTTTTCAAAGAACACAGCTGGGGCTGGACACCAGGGTTCTGACTCCAAACTCTGGTCTCCCAAGCACCACACTAGGAGGAAACCACGAGCACCAAAGTGGCTGGCAGAGGGTGGTGCTGATGCAGAGATGTGAGCTGGAGGATTCATCCTGAGGGACCAGCGACCAGAGCGAGGGGCAGGTTCAGTGACTCCAGACCCAGCATTTCATGAACCATTAAAATATTTAAAAACTGAACATCCTACTATGATATGATTACATGAGGATACTTACAGAAACTTCATATAGCAGCACAGTGGCTCACATCTGTAGTCCCAGCTACTGGAAAGGGTCTGAGCTATGATCTTGCGCCACTGTACTTCAGCCTGGGTGACAGGGGGAGACCCTGTCTCTAATATAAAGAAATAATGAGTAATACCTACTTTCATCAATATTTTACAAAAGAAGGCTGGGTGTGATGGCTCACGCCTGTAATCACAGCACCTTGAGAGGCCGAGGTGGGCGGATCACCTGAGGTCAGGAGTTCAAGACCAGTTTGGCCAACATGGTGAAACCCCGTCTCTACTAAAAATATAAAAATTAGCCAGGCTTGGTGGTACATGCCTGTAATCCCAGCTACTCAGGAGGCTAAGGCAGGAGAATCACTTAAACCCAGGAGGCAGAGGTTGCAGTGAGCCAAGACTGCACCACTGCACTCCAGCCTAGGCAACAGTGAGACTCTGTCTCAAAACAAACAAATAAACAAACAAACAAACAATGTTGTTCGGTCCCTGTGAGCTCATGCTGCTTGTTCAGGGCTGTGAGCCTAAGGCTGCTCCCTCTGTAGAAAAGGGGAAATTACCAACAGTTTGCAGGATGTTAAGACTTGGCACTAAACCAGACTTCTCCTCAAATGCTAAGGAGGCAAGAAGAGAAGAAATACAAAAACGACTTCCTCAGGGTGTCTCTCAGTACCAGCTCTTAAAGTGTCTGTCCAAGCACTCTCCAAAAAATAGTTTCTCAACCTTAGCACAACTGACATTTAGGTCCAGATAATGCTTTGTTTGGGAAATGGTGGGGAAGAGGAGGAGAAAGGATCAGTCCTGTGCATTATAAGGATGTTTAGCGGCATTCCAGGTCTCCACCCACCAGATGACAACGTCATCATTCCAGTTTTAACGACCAAAATGTCTCCACACATACCCCAGCATCCACTGAAGATCAACATCGTCCCTGCTTGAGAACCACTAGCTTAGAAAGACATGAACAAGGTAAAGGTAAGAGACTATGGTGAGAAAGGGGCCTCCCTGAGATTTAGTGGTCAGGGAAGAGCTGGGTGAGGAAGCACCAATGGTGCTGAAAAGGAGCAGCCATGTGAAATGCTGCATTACCCTGAGAACACTCATCAAAGAGAATAGCAAATGCGATGGCCTGAGATGGGTGGGCACTTGTGGAAATAGCATGAAGCCCAGCAAGGCTCCAGCAGAGTGACTTTAGAATTAGAGGACGTGACAGTGATTAAAGGGTTGTTTAGAATAATACCTGGTGGTACTGAAGGTAAATGTCTCCTGGGGACCTGCCTGACTCAACCCTTCTTGGAAAATATCCCACTGCCCCTGACACCACTAACTGGGCTGTGGAGAGGATACATGAGCAACCAGGCACACCCAGGCAGATCCTGCTCTGGAACTCAAAAAAAGAACTGCAGACAGAGGCCGTCTATGCTGGGCCGTGGGTGAGAGATGGAGGGAAGTATGAGCTGGAGGTAGAGCAGCATCTGCTGCCTGAAGCACGCCTCATCGAGGCCAGAGAAACAGACAAGAAATCTGGAGGGGAAGGAGAGATCACAAAGAATAAAGCCTCAGTGGCTAGTCTTCCCTTGAACTCGCTGAGGTAGAAAAGAACCATACAGAGTAGACAGAGACATGAGCAGACAGAGAAGCCAGGACATTACTGTGGTGGTTCTCAGTTCCTACACCAGCCCCTCTTAACGCACAGGTAGAAAGCCTACCGTTGGGGTCTGCAAAACACCCTGTTTCTTTCTAACACCTTCTCCTTTGGCTGGGAGCCAAAGAGTACTCTACTTCTTGCCCAAAGAGATACAGGGAAACTGTATAGCAAGAGGTGAGTGTAGAAAACGACTGAAGTGTGTGAAGGAGGCAAAACAGGTTGGAGAGGCCTTCTTGACCTGTTAGGCGTGGAGTCAGAGGATGGAATGAAGGAGGTGGCAGGTCCCCTGCATGGTGGAGAGGGAAGGCCTTACCCAGAGACACCAGAAGCCCACAGTTTTCCAGCATCACCTCCTGGTACAGGGTCCGCTGAGCTAGGTCCAGCTGCCCCCACTCCTCCTGGGTGAAAGTCACAGCCACATCATCAAAGGTCACAGACACCTGAAATGTCAAATAGAGGGAGTAGCGTTTGCCCTGGGACTGTCATATGTGCTTTGCTGGAAAAGGTGCAACAAGATCAAGGCCCAACTCATTGAGGACCTCCTGAGGGCCTAACCTTGTACCAGGCTGAAGGAGGAAGGTGGACACTGCTTTGGACAAATTACTGTAATGTAAAAGAGAAAAGCCTCCTATACAGGAGCTATCAGAGAATGACAGCAGACAATGGCAATAACTTGTAGACTGTGAGATGCAGACAATTAGAGTTCAAGAACATCAAAGGAATGAGAAAATAATGACAATGAAAATAATAACAGCAATAATGCTGACAATGACAGTGCCTAAGCCTCACTGGTCCAGCTCATGCTGAAGGCTTCATGTTCTGTTTTAAAGCAACTACAAGTCCCCAACTCTGAAGTCAGAATTCTCAAGTTTTAATCTAAACTGAAACTGACACTTGCCAGTTTTTGTGATCTTAGGCACCTCATTCATTTCTGCTTCAATTTCCAGATCAATACAGGATTCCCACATTTCCCAGTAACTGACATGAGTTATTCAGAGCTTGATGGACTTTGAGATTTCATTAATCCTCCCACAGCCCCTGAAGTATTACTAAACACCACCACCAATCACCTCCATGTCACAGTCACTGACCTAAGGCTAAGGGAGTTCCATAGATTCTCCCAGTGTTTTTTTTTTTTTTAAGAGACAGCGTCTCACTCTATTGCCCAGGCCACAGAGCAATGGCATGCTCAGAGCTCACTGTAACCTCAATCTCCTGGGCTCAAGCAATCCTTCTGCCTCAGCCCAAATAGCTGGGACTATAGGCACATGCCACTGTGTCCAACTATTTTTTTTTTTTTTTTTGGTGGCGCTGGGATCTTGCTATGTTGCCCAGGCTGGTCTCGAACTCCTAGCCTCAAGTGATCCTCTCACCTCAGCCTCCCACATCATTGGGACTTCAGGTGTGAGCACCAGGCCCAGCGAGAGTTTCACATCTTATTAGCAGACACAGGATTTTAACCCAGGTCCCTCTGCTTCAGGGTTTAATACTGTGATCCTAACAATCCTCCATCACCAATGTGAATCTACGATAATAAAGTTGTGAAGCATTTCTACATACTTTTGCTGTTTAATCTATTTTAGCAGCTCCTGAAACTATTCCCAAGACATGGGCAAAGCCCTCATCACCAAACTCAGGAGTGCCAAATGCCTGAGGAGTGGCAGTGCCCGGACCAGCTCACTCTCTCCCCTGGACTCCAGGGAGACTACATAATGAACCATCAGCCTTTTCCCTCCTTGAGTCCTGCCAGCAGGGATCCCTAATGCCAGTGTACTTCAGGACCAGGAAACTCAAGTGGCTGAAGATGACTCAGGCTGTGGTCATGAGAATCCGGGCTTATGACTGGCCAAAAGGCCTTATGGGCTGAGGTGGGATGAATGTCCAACAAAAGACCACAGGATCTTGCTCTTCCAGGCCACGTCTCAGCTGGTGGGGATGGGGGAAACCATGGTAACCTCACAAGTCCTTTTGGACCTCCTTAAACAACCAATACACTTTGCCTTGGTCTACACAGTCCTCTCTACTTGAATATCTGCCTTTCGCTTCCAATGGCCCCTGTGACTCGCTGGAGGAAAACTGCAAAGTTCACCTACAGGGCTTCTCAGCCAACTGCCTGTAAAAACAAAGGCTCTGGTAGCCCACATACTAAATATGAGTTTCTGTTACTTAACTACTGTGACTTTCGGCAGGTAACTGAACAGGTTGGAGTCTTGACCTCTTCTTGTGTAAAGCAGTGTTGATGACAGAATGTCACTTTAAGGAGATTAGGATTAAATGAGATGATAAATAATGCCCACCTATCAGTTCACATCAAGGCCTTAATGAAGGCCATTATTATTCTTGTGTTATTATTTATGCTTTTTGTCCTCACAAAGTCTTTAAGACCTCAATTCAGTAGCTGTCTAAAATTTTGCCACATTCTCTATACAAAAACGCCAGACCAAGGGCAGGTGAGAAAGGGACTACTTTTAGTCTGAACTGCTACGAAAGGCCTCTTCAAAGAAGTGACATTTGAGCAGAGCCAACAAGATGTCAAAGGGTCTTGCAGAGATCTGAGGACAGTGTCTGAAGCTGAATGAACTGTAAAGGTGAAGCCTGAGGGATGAAAAAGAATTCTGCGTGATCAGATTGGTGTGTCTGAAGAGCTGAGCCCGGGAGGAAAGGAAGGAAACAAGGACGGAGGTGGTCAGCCATAGCGGACCGGGTAGGGACTTGGGCAGCCCATGACTGAGAATTCGGCTTATGTGTGTGATGGGAGTCCCTGGATTGGAGCTTCATCTATCCTTCAACCGATTATTGAGCACCTATCAGAGGTCTGACACTTTTGGCGGTGGAAAGCTACAGAAGGGCTAACTAGAAGTGGGGCACATTATGTGACTGGTTAGGCTGAGCACGTTTGGCTTTCTGTGCTCTTGGTCCTCTGTTGGAAGCGGAGGCAAAAATTAGGGGCACAGTCAGTTATTAATCAAGTCCTATTTGGGGCCTACTGTCCACAAGTTATCGTTTAGCTTCCTGAAATGTCACCAGACAGTAATCTAGCTCCTTGCAAGACTAACTTAAGGCAGACTGGCTACCAGAGTTGTTTATTGCAGAAAAGGAGACTGGTTTCCCGGGAAGGTTGCTACAAATTGTACGTCATAGCCCTATTTCTATGTATAGTTTGGCTACTGTTCACTCGAATATTAGGTCTCTCAGGTACCACCACTGCAGGACATAACTAAGTGACGAGCCTGCTCCACGTTTCGTATACAAACAAAACTACAAAGAGGAATCCTGTGACTGTCTTGGCTTCCAGCCAGCCCAGGAGGCTTCTCCGAACTAGGAGAAAAGCAGCGAAGCCGAAACCTAGTCCACTCACCTGCGCCGGGTCCGTCAATGCCGTCGCCATACTGGGACCCTGCAGCCCCAGCGGGGCGGGTCCCGCCGGCTCGGCCGAGCCCCACCCCTTCCCTGCGCAGGGCGCGGTGACCTTGGCTGACAGTCGCACTACCCCGTGACGGGGAGGCTCACCGTTCACTCCGAGACGCAGAGGTCGCTGTCTGCCTCCTACCTGCTCATTTCCCCAGAGCCGCCCGGGAGGGGGCGGTGGAACGCCGCCCCCTCTCTATAGCCGGCGTGGACGGAACCGTCGCTCTCAAATGACGCCACTACCCAAACGCCGGAAGTCCCGCCCAAAGCTTCGCGGCCCACAGAAAACGCCCCTGTCCTGCACCATCACTGGCTCCAGCGCCCGCCACGTACCGGGCAATGCCTTCTGGTTAATGTAGTTTTTCTCCACAAAACACTTGCACAAGGGACTCATCCTGAGCCGGTAGGCCTCGGCGTAAAAGACGCCTGCCTCTGTCCCGGGGGCACAACTCGGAGGCCAGGGGTCAATTGTAACCGTCCATTCTTCGCTGGGGGAAATCGAGCCAGGGTCAGAGCCAGTACAGAGACTCTGGACCAGGCTGCGGACCCTGATTTCCAGCTTGTGTTATCTTCCCTCCCGATCCTCTTATACAGATCAGTGGGCAGTCAGAGTAACCAAAGGAGGACGTCGAGCTGCGCGGTGGCGCAGGCCTGGAATCCCAGCGCGTTGGAGACAAAGGGGTCAGATCGCTTGAGCCCAGTAGTTCAAGGCTAGCTTGAGCAAAAAGGGAGACTGTACCAAATATATATATATATATATATATATATACATACATGAAACAAGCTGAGTGTGCTAGTGCACACCTGTGGTCCCAACTACTCAGGAGACTGGGGCAGGAGGATCTCTTGAGGACAGGAGTTTGAGACCAGCCTGGGTGACAGAGCAAGACCTCAATGATACAAAAGAACAAATAGTCCGGGTGTGGTGGCTCATGCCTGTAACCCCAGTGCTTTGGGAGGCATAGATGGAGCATAAATGAGCATAGATGGAGAAAGGAATGGAAAGAGGTGGACATTGTTAAACAAAAATTACAGGAGGCCATTGTTTTGGAGCTCCTATAGCAGGCCCCACGACCAAACCAAAATGGAGTCTCATGCTAAATGTCATCTAATCAAACAAGCTTTAAGGAAGCAGACAGATCCCAAAACAGAGCAGTTTTTCCTAAAAACAGACTTCAGTCTGCCTGAATTAGTGAAATTAGGAAGTCCCTCTGCTTTAACCCTTAGGAAAAAAGTAACCTGTTAACCAATCAGCTTTTTATTCTATTGTTCCGTTTCATTGTTCTCACCTTACAAAACCCACTGTTCTGCCACTGCCCACTGGGAACTCTAATTTCCCCAATTTATGAATCATTAAAGCCAATTGTATCTAAAACTAAATTTGTTGTAAATTTTGCCTTTTGACAACTTTGAACTAACTGGTTGCAAACAAGAAAGCAATAAAGTCATGTTAGGAATTATGATAATCCTTAAATACTTTATACAGACTGGGTGTCATGGCTCACCCCTGTAATCCCAGTACTTTGGGAGGCTGAGGTAGGTGGATCACCTGAGGTCAGGTGTTTGAGACTAGCCTGGCCAATATGGTGAAACCCCATCTCTACTAAAAATACAAAAATTAGCTGGGCTTGGTGGTGTGTGCCTGTAATCCCAGCTACTTGGGAGGCTGAGGCAGGAGAATTGCTTGAACCCAGGAGGGGGAGGTTGCAGTGAGCCAAGATGGCACCATTGCACTCCAGCCTGGGGAACAGAGCAAGATGCTGTCTAAAAAAAAAAAAAAAAAAAAAAAAAATTATACAAAACCTTAGTAGTCTCCATTGGTGACTTTTTTTTCTTCTCATGACAATGAAGGTTAGACAATAAAATCCAGCTTTCAATGATTTGACAATACATATGTGTAGCTAGCCAGAGTAGCCCACTCCCTCTGGGGGGATCAGAAGCACAGCTGTTGTAAACTTTGGGTGAACTCCAGAGAAGTGAAACCATAATAGGAAGGTGTGTATAACTAGGGGTAGAGCAGACAGGCCTGGAGAGATACCATCTTTCACTGACCTTGCTGCAAGATAGTTGTTAGCTGAAGTATGTGAACTGAAGTATGAGAATAATAACCACAGGCTGTTTCTAAGTAACTGCACCCTCCCTCTGCTATGTGCTTTGTGAACAAATAAAGTACACTGAAACAGGTCGCGGCGGACAGACTGACATCCTCACTCTCCCAGACTGCCTGGCCCAGCTTTCTTTGTGTTTGTGTCTGTGTTTTTCTTTATCCCCCACCATTCCCTCTTAGGTCTTTGAACGCTTGTGCAGCATGGGATGCAGTACACGTGACATAACGGTTATGAAAATGGAAAGTGTGTGCAGAAAATGCCCTCCAGAGATTTAAGTGCAGAGAAAGTATCATGATAGGATGTTAATTGAGTGGAAATGGAGATGGAATGAATTTACTAGAAGGTGTTATTTATAAAATGAGATTATTGAGAAATGTGGCTTAATTAGCATACAAGCTGTTAACACTGTTATTCATCATTGACAATACTATTTTGCCCAATTCAGAGGAAAGTCATAATTCTCCCTTTAGGATCAAATTAATTTTGGCTTTGGATGCATAACAGATATTAAAGTTAGTATGTTTATATTCCATCACAGGAGACCAGAATGTCTGGAATCAGTCCAGGTGAGGAGAGCTATGTAGATACTGGAGACATTTTTTTTGAGACAGAGTTTCACTCTGTCACACAAGCTGGAGTGCAGTGGTGCAATCTCAGCTCACTGCAACCTCTGCCTCCCAGGTTCAAGTGATTCTCGTGCCCCAGTCTCATGAGTAGCTGGGACTATAGGCACAAGCTACCATGCCCAGTTAACTTTTGTATTTTTTAGTCGAGATGGGTTTTCACCATATTGGTCAGGCTGGTCTCAAACTCCTGACCTCAAATGATCTGCCTGCCTCAGCCTCCCACAGTGCTGGGATACAAGTATGAACCACCACACCTGGCCTGGAGACACTTTTAAATCCCTCGTGTAGAGTATGTCAGAGTTTTCATTGTTTAAACATATATCATCTGGTGGTCAGTGCTGAGGCCCTAGTGATTTTTGTCCTAATTTGCCAAAAATTGCCCAGTGAACTGGTTAATTTATTAGAAATTGCCGTTTTTGAAATGTTAACTCAGGAAAACTGATAGGATGAAGCAAAGCATAGAGAGAAGTAAGCACTGTGTCTCCTCATGCAGGTAAAAGAAAGAACCAACCAACCAAAAAGACACATAAATACTGAATGTGCGGCTTAAAAACCATGAACCAATGTCTTGGAGTATTTAACTTACAGGTCTGCAATAATGGGAGCTGTTCACCTGAGTGAAGTGGCTGAATTATTTATACTTAAGTAGTGGGTCTGGTCTTAACAGAAATCATTCCTGCAACTGCTGGACATTTCACAACGAGGAGCTTGTGTGGAACATAGTGATAGGAGTAACATTAACAAGGCAAACTCCATATAAAGTGCTTAACAACTAAAGTCAGAAGAAATGCTGGTGTAACTGACTGCACTGATCAAAAAACACATTTGGGCTTACAGCTGAGGAGTCTAGATGCTTACTGTGGTACAGTTTATAATGGGTACAGGGAACAGCTGGCACATAAAACTGACACAGAAGGTTACAGAAGGTTGGAAGGCCACTCCCCAAATTGCAGCATGCGATAATTTCAAAAGTGATGTTATATTTATTATGAGGGATGACTTATTCTAATATAATCAGAGTATGACAACACAGAGGTGCTAGTGTATTCATTTGGGTTGCATTGATATGCAGTGAAACATTGTATTTGTTGTTGTTATAGAGCACTTCATTATCAATGCAGATAAACATTGTATTTATAAAACAGCAGCATAATGATGTCCATAAAAAGAGAGTGGACTTTTGGGTTGATGACAATCCTGTTTTACAAATGGCATACTCCTGAAAACATGGAGAAATGTAAGTTGGATCAAGGAGTCACTGTGATAGGTAGCAGGTTATATACCCTGAGGGCATTTATCTGTAGAAAGTAGGCAAGAGGTTTTTTGTTGTTTTTTTGAGACAGTGTCTCATTCTGTCTCCCAGGCTGGAGTGTAATGGCACAGTCTCAGCTCACCATAGCCTCTGCCTCTTGGGTTCAAGCGATTCTCATGCTTCAGCCTCCTGAGTAGCTATGGTTATAGGCACCTGCCACGATGCCCAGCTAATTTTTGTATTTTTAGTAGAGACAGGGTTTTACCATGTTGGCCAGGCTGGTCTTGAACTCCTGACCTCAAGTGTTCTACCTGCCCCGGGCTTCCAAAGTGCTGGAATTACAAATGTGAGCCACCGCGCCCGACCTGAAAGTAGGCAAGAGTTTTCAAGTCATGATCTCCAGGGTGGAAGGTGGGGGCAGCAGGGAGAACAACCTTGGGCAGTTCTCATGGGAAAGGCTTCCCACAAAAAATAAAGATTCTACCCAGTCACATACTAATTCCTACAACTATGAGGAGCTGGTACACAATGATTCAGCTTTTATTAACTAGCATCTTACATCTTAAAAGAGGAAAAAAAAAAAAAAGACAAATGAGGTGGCAGAGCTAGGAGATCTCCCTGAGCAAACATAAACAGAAGCAGACAGGGCTCAAGAAGCCATCTGAGCACAGGGAGGCAGCACCCTTCGGGAATGGGCCTGAACCCAGGCATGCTTCAGGATCTGAGCCAGGGGCAGTCGCTCCAAGGGCTGGTATCTGAGAAGCTTGGAAATCAAGTCCTGGGCCCCTACAGGCATTGATAGTGGAAACCTTACATCCACCTGATGAGGCCAGGAAAAAAGAAAGAGAAGTCTGGTTAGTTTCTTTGGTCAACGTTCTCCCCCTTCTTTGAGTCTTTTTAAGACACAGTTCTGGACCATAGCAGACAACCTGTGTGTGTGCCCCAGTTCCCACAGCCCAGCAGGCATCACTGGCCAACTCCCCCATGAATGCCCAAAGGTGACTGTCCCACCTTGAGGATGCGTCTGTAAGTCTCACTGTGGGAGGTGCTCTCAAAAGGTGGATATCCAACCAGCAGCTCATAGCAAAGCACTCCAATGCACCACAAATCCACCTTTTCATCATATGTTCTCCCCTCAATCATTTCTGGGGGCAAGTAGTCTAGTGTCCCACACATTGTCTTTCTCCTGGAGGAAGGCAGAAAAGGGAGTATTAAGCAGAGGCCCAGGATGAGGGAAATCCTTCCCCAGCTTTCACTGAGATGTAGAGACCCTAGGACATCCTGGAAAGTCTCTCCCAAGCACAGGAGTTCTGAGAGATAAATTTTTAATACAGATCAAGGTTTGCAGAAGGTAAGTACTGGGACCTACTATTAATAAAACCCTATTTTGGATTATTCATACAGTGATTTAGCTCATGCTCCAGAATGTTTTCACAAGAATATTCTCAGCGTTAAGAAAGGTCTAGAACAAACTGATGGTTTATCAACGAGAACCAAGTAAACTATGGTAAGAAAATTTCTGTATGAAAATTATTCACACAGAAAAATAGACTCCTGGAATTACGGAGCAATGACTTCATTTACATGCAAACCTACTGGTATAGTTATACATTAATAAAGATCACAAAATAAAAATAAAAGGTCTGACTGAACCACATTATTTAAATCTACAAATACATACTAAGTATATGTGTTTGAAAAAGGCAGTGTTGACCAGGTGCAGTGGCTCATGCCTATAATCCCAGCACTTTGGGAGGCCAAGGTAGGCGGATCACCTGAGGTCAGGAGTTCGAGACCAGCCTGACCACCATGGTGAAACACTGTCTTTACTAAAAATACAAAATTAGCCGGGTGTGGTGGCGCCTGCCTATAATCCCAGCTACTTGGAAGGCTGAGGTAGGAGAATTGCTTGAACCCGGAAGGTAGAGGTTGCAGTGAGCTGAGATTGCATCATGGCACTCCAGCCTGGGAAACAAGAGCAAAACTTCATCTAAAAAAAAGAGAAGAAAAAGGCAGTATGCCAACCAGGCATGGTGGTGGCTCATGCCTGTAATCCCAGCACTTTGGGAGGCTGAGGTGTGTGGATCCCCTGAGGTTAGGAGTTCAAGACCAGCCTGGCTAACAAAACCCATCTCTACTAAAAATACAAAAATTACCTTGGTGTGGTGGCACAGGCCCATAATCCCAGCTACTTGGGAGGCTGAGGCAGGAGAACTGCTTTAACCTGGGAGGCTAAGACCGTGCCACTGCACTCCAGCCTGGGTGAAAGAGCCAGACTCCGTCTCAAAAAAAAAAAAAAAAAAAAAAAAGAAAAAAGAAAAAGAAAGAAAAAGAAAAAGAAAATACAAACCCCATGTTTGTATTTAGGTTTTGCATGAGGACATGGGAAATACAATACATTGGATTATTCTTAACTGTTACTCAGAGCTCACTCCCCCCACCCTTGGCCCGCAACCACCACCTGACCTACCTCAGGGAGGGGGTGTGCACAGACCAGCCAAAATCTGCAATCTTCACCTCACCCCTGAACCCCAGCAGTAGGTTCTCTGGCTTAATATCTCTGTGAATCACTTTCTTCTCATGGCAGTAGGTCGGGCATCTGCCAACTCCTCTATTATCTGTGGGTGCAAAGAAAGGGCAACCTGGAAGTGAAGCCTGCCACAATTTCCAACTGGGGTGGAACACTCATCATGAACTGTACGATTGCAGTGGAATGATACAACCCATCAACTCCATTTCCTCCTTTTTAAATTTTACTAGTTACTGGTGTATGGGGCATGGGGGGTGGATTTCCTCCCCTTTTTAATGTGGTCTTATGGGATGGATGGTAAAATGGACACAGATCCTCCCTACTGTCCTAGTAAAGCAAGTAGCCAGACACAGAACTGACACTGAGCCATTCAGATGATCTCTCACAGGACTTGAGGCCAGAAGAAATGAAACAGAAGCAGGAGGAAAGATGGAAGACCATCCATCCTGACAGAACAAGCTAAATGAACCACTGCTGCTGGGAAAATCATTACAGTGGTTCCCTTTCTGGAACCCTCTAGAAATCTCTTTGTACCTATCTCTAAGCCAGTTCTACCCATTTATTCAGTGAACTCCTTCAGAGTCTTTCAATATGTTTCTTTACATAAGGCAGTGGAGTTAGATTCTGTTGCTTACAACCAAAGAATCCAAACCTATACACAGTACTGGAGATACACTGGGGTTAATTATGATATCCAAGTGTCTGTAGAACATGTATCATTATATTAAATTTACACAGTAAAATTCAGAAGTAAACTTTAAAAAAGGCAATCTGGGCCAGGCACAGTGGCTCAGGCCTGTAATCCCAGCACTTTGGGAGGCCAAGGCAGGAGGCTCACAAGGTCAGGAGCTCGAAAACATCCTGGCCAGCACAGTGAATCCCGTCTCTACTAAAAATACAAAAATTAGCAGGATATGGTGGGCTGTGCCTGTAGTCCCAGTTACTCAGGAAACTGAGGCAGGAGAATCACGAAGGTTGCAGTGAGCTGCAATCCCACCACTGCACCACGGCCTGGGCAACAGAGCAACTCCATCTCAAAAAAAAAAAAAAAGGGAATCTGGACACTCATAACAGCCAACCCACAATAAATTACACCCCAGAGCCTCAGTCCCACATCTCACCGTGGCTGTGCGCTGTTCATCTAATTTCTCGCTTTTTTGCAGCTCCTTGTAGAGCTCACCCCTCGGAGCATATTCCAGAATCAGGAACACCCGGCGCGCATCATGGAAGTAGTTATACAGGCGTAGAATATTGGGGTGTCTGAAGGATTAATGTGGGAAGAGTCAGATTTCTCCCTGAGGTCTATCACGTGATGCCACTGTCACTGCTTGGTCACACAAACGGCAAATTATGCTGGGCCGAGAATCACAACAGCCCTACCTGGGAGCGAGTGAGGGGAGAACAGGACAGGAACCAGGATTCGGGTGTCTGCCCCAGGGTGGAAGCTCTAGGTAGTGTAAATGGAACAAACTGCAGAAAAAAGTCTTGAAGGTAGAAGTGAAGGGTTTACTTGGAGTTAGAATTTGGGGAAAATTCGGGGCTCAGACGTCAAAGATGAAAGAGGAAGCAGAGACTGTCCTTACTGTAGATGCGCCTGGATCTCAATTTCCCGGCGCAGCTGGTGCTCCAGTCCTTCCTTCTCTATCTGCGACTTGAAAAGAACCTTCAGGGCCACGATGAAATGGCTTTCCTTGAGCCGAGCCAGGTATACATTCCCAAATTTCCCCTTGCCCAGGGGACGCCCGATTTCAAAGTCATCGATTGTGAGGCGCCGCCTGACAGGAGAGGAAGAAAAGAGCCTCAGCTTGGGAGGTAGGGTAGGTGGAGGGAAAGTCAGGGACCCCAATGCTCCCCTCCCTCTTTCACTGTATCCTTACCCTACGTTCCTCAGGACAGTAGTGCTGGGTCCCAGGAGCTAGCACGCCACACACCTGTCCTTCATCCCCGCATCCCACCTCCCTTCCTTTTCCAGATACCAAACCCAAGGCGCTCACATGGTTGGGTTGCTGGGCTGCTGGGCTGTTTGGCTTGCTGCAGTCACTGAAAGAGAGGAGGGGGAGGGAAGGAAAAGGGGAGAGAAAGAGAAGGGAGGAGAACAGTACAGGAGGAGGGGGAGAGACGGAGGTGAGAAGCAGAGGGGGAGATAAAGAGTGGAAGGGAGGAAGAGGAAGAAGAGCAGTAGAGGGAAAGAGTAGGGGAGGGAGAGATGAGAGGAAGAGGAGGAGAGAAAGAGGGGAGGGGAAGACAGGGAGGCAGAAGAGAGAGAGTAGGAGAGGGGGAGGGTGAGGGGAGCGGGAGGTGCAGAGGAGGCAGAGAGAAAGGAAAGGGAGGGGACGGGAGGAGAGAGAGAGGTGAGAGAAGAATGGGAATGGGAAGAAGGGATAGGGAAGGGAACAATGAGGGAGGAACGGAGGGGGTTGTGGAGGAGGAGAGGGAGGTGAGATGTCAGCAGATGTGCCTTCTGCGCACCCACCCCGGGCCTGCTCCGCGTCCATTCTCCGGCCCCGGCTCTCACCCGCTTGGCCTAAAGGCTGAGCTGTGCCGGGCGGGACCGCAGCTCCCTGGGAGCTCATGGGGACTAGAGGTGAGGGCGCGGACGCCTTCCTGAGCTCTCTGGATGGCTGTCCCCGTTCACAGGGTCCCGAAAGGGGTTGGGGGTCCCTTTCCCGCCGAGGCGCTTCCAAGCCCGCTAGTCCAGCGGCCTCACCAAGGCCCCGACGTGAACAGACTCCGGGGTCTGCGGCCTCACGGAGGCCCCGACGCGAGCAGGCTCCGGGGTCTGCGGCCTCACGGCGCCCCGACCTGAGCAGGCTCCGGGGTCTGCGGCCTCACGGCACCCCAACACGAGCAGGCTCCGCGGTCTGCGGCGTCGTGAGCGGCTGTGGCTGCGCGGCCGTCTTTTATACCTGGCACCTCACGCGCAGAGCGGCACTTCCTGTTTGGCTCCCATTGGCTGAAATTCCTGACGTCATCGTAAGCACGCCCAACAGAAAGGACAGAAATGGGAACTTCCGCTCAGGGCCCCGTGTCAGGACTGGGGCGGAAGTGGAGCCCTGCAGCAGGGGCTGGTCACTGAAAGCGAGTTCTAGGGGTGACACCCGAGAAGGAAGGAGGCAGAGCGTGCAGAGAGGCGGTGATGGGAGCGGACCGGAGGGAATGAACAGCTTTTCTGAGTTTTGTGACTTTCTTTTCTGAGTTTCGTTTGACTTTCAGGCAACTTATCGAGCCTGAAGAGGTACTGTGGAGAGAATGTCACATAACCTAAAATGTCAAAAATGATTAGGGCTCATTCACCTAACAAATATCTGAATATATACTATTGACTAGAAACTATGCACATGGAGCAAATAATTAGGAGAAACTCTAGATCAAGGTCTGTGCTCTCTTGAAGCTGGAAATTGAGTTGGGGAGACAGTCATTATTCAATAACCAAACAAATAGATAGTCATGAAAGAATGCCTATGACCTAGCTGGGTGCTCTAGTGGGCTTCTGTGACGGTGTGCTCTCTGGGACAAAATGAAGGATACATATTCGCTAACTGGGCAGAGCAAGTGGCAGAAGCTCCATCTCGGGTGGGAAAAGGAAAGGGAAGCATGGGGCGAAAGGAGAAGAGCTGCAAGACTTGTGTGAAATGAGGGCTGGGGAAATAAGGTTTAGGGTGTTTACAGTAAAGTAGGTGGCTGACCCCAAGAGTGCAGATGAGGCATGGGGAGAGCCCAGTGAGAGGAAAAAGAGACCTGAGACAAAGCTTTAGAAATTTCAACACCAGCGCGGTGGCTCATGCCTGTAAGCCCAGCACTTTGGGAGGCCAAGGCAGGCAGATCACCTGAGGTCAGAAGTTAAAGACCAGTCTGGCCAACATGGTGAAACCCTGTCTCTACAAAAATACAAAAATTACAGGCATCAGGCATTATGGCAGGTGCCTGTAATCCCAGCTACTCAGGAGGCTGAGGTGGGAGAATCTCTTGAACCTGGGAGGTGGAGGAGGTAATGAGCCGAGATCATGCCATTGCACTCTAGTCTGGGCAATGGAGCAAGACTCTGTCTCAAAAAAAAAAAAAAAAAAAAGAAAGAAAGAAATTTCAACATACACGTGGATGCACCAACATGAATGGGGAAAAGGAGTGAGGGGGTGCAGGGGAGAAAACCAGGAGCATAACCTTACAGAACCAAAGAGTACGTTTGGAGAAAAGAGTGGACGATAACAGTTTTAAGTCCTGTCCATAGCCCCGAAAAGACAAGAACTTATGATTTGTAAACAGGGAGCCACTGCCGACCTTCACCAGAGTGGCAAGAAAGGTGGCGCTGTAGTTGGGGTGTTTACAAGGGAGGAGAGGTGTGGGAAATGGAGAGAAATAACACAAGGAAGAGGTAATGGGAACATTACAAGAAGCTCCTCCATTAAAGGAAGAGAGAGGAAAAGACAAAGAACTCAAAGCTGGAGAAGCCAATACACACACAGGGACATACGGAAGATCATACTGGTGATGTCTGATACTCAAGAAGTGGGAGGATAATTCAGAAAGGGTTTGAACATGACAAAAGAACATGCAGATGATGATCAGATGCGGTGGCTCATGCCTGTAACCCCAGCACTTTGGGAGGCTGGGGTAGGAGGGCTGCTTGAGCCCACGAGTTTGAAACCAGCCTGGGCAACACAGGGAGACCCCTATCTTTACAAAAAATTTAAAAATTACCTGGGCATGGTGGTGTGCGCCTGTAGTCTCAGATACTTGGGAGGCTGAGGTGGGAGGATCACTTGAGCCTGGGAAGTCAAGGCTGCAGTGAGCTATGATCGTGTCACTGCACTCCACCCTGGGCAACGGGGCAAGATCCTGTGTCAAACACACACACACAAACGAACTTGCAGGTGGAAAACAGGCTTGTAGATGGCTGAAATGACATGTATGCCGAAAGTCAAGAAACTCAGATGAGAAAAGAGCACTATCACTGCTGAAGCGTAATTTTAAAGATTAAGAAACACACTTTGAACATATGTGAGTTCTTAAACCTGAGAGCCAGGACATGGAATGGAACTAGGAAGAACAAGAGTGCAGAGATGTTGAAAGACCACACAGCTACAAATGGCTAAAGGCTTAAGAAAGAAGGGAGAATAATCAAGAAAACACCATGTAGTCAGGGCTCAGAGACAACATTCGTCCTCCAAACCTCGAAACAATGAGAAAGGACCCAGGGAGAATGATATCTGAAGGCATTGTTAGTGTATTTCGGGCCCTTGATCCGTCGTGCTTGAGCTTTCTTGAGTGTCAGGCTATGAAAACTGGAACTGCCTTCCTAAAACCCCAACCCCTCAGGTCATTATTTTACTAACACAATGGTCCCTCAAACGCCTGGGTCCTACCAATGCACAGGGACAGCCCCTCTTTGGCACTGCTCCCCTCCTGCATCCATGGCTCTCTACTGACTTCCAAGCTAAATATCACATTTGACTTGGTATACTGACACAGTTCTTTGGAAATGACATGGAAATGGCTGATTTGCTTTGCTAAATTCTGGAAATCCATGAGTACTTTCAGGTAGGTTTTTTAAAATGTAGATTTTATTATTTAGCGTTGGTGATGCCAACGGATCAGGAGATTGCCACTGATGAGTATGTAACTCACAGTTCCCATGGAGAGGGGGCATATCAAGCTGCACAGGGCTAAACAGGGAATCCTCACAGTTGGTCAGGAGAGAGGAGTAGCAAGGGGAAAGTGGGGTAAAGCCTGTGTTATCGTTTCTTCAGTTTTTTTTTTAAGAGCCAAGGTCTGGCTCTGTTGTCCAGGCAGTGGTTTAATCACAGCTCACTGCAGCCTGAAACTCCCAGGCTCAAGCAATCCTCCCACCTCAGCCTACTGAGTAGCTGGAACTAGAGGCGTGCACTACTGTGCTCCATGAATTAAGTTTTTTGTAGAGATGGGTTCTGGCTATGTTGCTTAAGCTGGCCTCAAACTCCTGGCCTCAAGTGAACCTCCTGCCTTGGGTGCCCAGTGTCGGATTAAAGATGTAAGCTACCACACCAGGGCTGTATTGCCATTTTCAAGCAAAGAAATGGGCAAGGCAGAATAAACAAGTTATGAATTGGCTAGTTTGAATAATTTCAGGGAGCTTGAGAGTATATGGACAGCTTTTAGCTGCTAACTGGTACTGAGATGATTAAGAAGGGGGATAGTAGCTCCACATGTGAGAAATTGCCAAAGACAGTTGAGGGGTAAGGCTGCGGACTAGCTGGTTTGCATGTGAAAGGCAACCTAGCACGGGACACTTTTGCTACCTCTAAGAGGAGCAGTGTCTCCAGGATCAGCAAGGTCCCATCTGTCAAAACATCAGAATAAAAACACATGCTGAGCTGGGCAAGGTAGCTCATGCCTAATAATCCCAGCACTTTGGGAGGCTGAAGCAAGAGGACTGCTTGAGCTCAGGAGTTCAAAACCAGACTGGGCAACATAGAGATCTTATCTCTGGATTAAAAAAAAAATCAGCTGGGCATGGTGGCAAGCACCTGTAATCCCAGTTACTCAAGAGGGTGAGGCAGAAGGCTCACTTGAGCCTGGGAGATTGAGGCGGCAGGGAGCTACGATCGCACCACTGCACTCCAGCCGGGGTGACAGGATTTAATTAAAGCCACCTGGCCAGTCAATACAAGGCTCATGGCTCATAACACTGCCTCAAGAGTATTTCTTCTTGGAGCAGTTTAGTTGAGACCACACAACTGTAAGATGTATAACATGCTTGTGGCAAATAGATTAAAAAATGTTAACACTCAAAACCCAAGGACACTACTGAGCATTCCAGAGACACTCCAGTTTCCCACAATTGAGAAAGCAAAGGTGAGGTGAGTATGATTAAAAAGGTACGCTGTGCAATTCCCACAAGCCAGAGTCTCATAGGTCTCCAGGATCCCGCCTCTGCAGAGAACCTCTTGGCTTCAGTCAGCTGTTCTACTCCTCCGAAGTAAAACTCAGACATCCATGATTCCAGTAACATACTCTTTAATCCCAAGTCATCTGCATTTCATTATGCAGAAATTATTATAAACCCATATTATTTAAATCTCTCCCCATTGAAGCCATGAACTAGTTTTAAAAGCAGCAACAGTAGGATGACAAATTGTATACATATATACTATAGAAATACACATTGATCTGGCAGTAACATCTTTACAAAGGTGAACAAAGGGAGTACCTGCAAATCACAGCACTTGTAGCCATATTTATGTATTCATACACATGTATATGTGAAGTGGTCCACACACACACACACACACACACACAGCAGACTAGGTCCTTTCTTACAAGACTTTCTCTGTACCTTGTCATAGCTAAATTAAACCTCTAGGTTAAGTTGTTCATAAGTTCCACTGCAACTTAGGAGTTTCTTTCTCCTCCTAACAAAACTGAGGAAAGGAGATTTTTTTTTTTTTTTTTTTTGAGACAGAGTCTCACTTTGTCACCCAGGCTGGAGGGCAGTGGCACGATCTCGGCTCACTGTAACCTCCGCCTCCCAGGTTCAAGTGATTCTACTGCCTCAGCCACCCATGTTCCTGGGACTATAGGCATTTACCACCATGCCCAGCTCATTTTTGTATTTTTGTAGATATGGAGTTTCACCATGTTGGCCAGGCTGGGCTCAAACTCCTAATCTCAGATGATTCACCTGCCTTGGCCTCCAAAGTGCTGGGATTACAAGGGTGAGCCACCTCACCTGGTCTGGATTTATTACAATCATTATATAAGCCGTCACCACAAACTCATGACCATTATTTTTTTGCTGAAAAAAAATTGCTTAATGTTAACATGAATTTGACTTATACAGTTTTTTAGTACCATTTAAGTCATTGTAGAAAAGTTAAAACAGCAGATGGAGGGCTGCTATCCTTCAAGTTTGCAAGGTTCACCCTTGCCAGAGCGTTGGACCTTAGATTTTGGGAGGTTTACTACTGCTCCACCCACCCAGAAACGGCAGTAGCTCAGTGCCGTTTTTAGGTGCTATTAAATAAGGCACATCCCGTGTGACTTCACTGAAACAAGACTCAAAAGATTTTGCCTGGTTTTCTCTGATTTTCAGCCTTTTCCCTTACAATTTGCTTTGTATTCTTTCGCTGTAGTAAGTCTTAGCTGTTGAGTATGACAGAATGCTGAGTCCTGAGTCTTCTCAGCAAATTGTCAAGCCTGGGGGTGTTCTTGAGGATCCCAAGACAGTCATTCATAACAATTTCTAAAATCATGTACAACTGTCCAAAAAAGCCCAGGTAGATTCTCTTTGAGGTCAAGGAATGCCATATACAGTGCCACCTATATGCACAGCTTCGTGGCAAACATTCTGTGAGAGAACCAAAAATTGCAATAAAGGCCAGGTGCAGTAGCTCATGCCTGTAATGCAGCACTTTGGGAGGCCGAGGCAGGTGGATCACCTGAGGTTGGGAGTGTGAGACCAGCCTGGCCAACATGGTGAAACCCTGTCTCTATAAAAAAATACAAAAATCAGCCGGGCATGGTGGCACATGCTTGTAATCCCAGCTACTTGAGAGGCTGAGGCTGGAGAATTGCTTCAACTTGTGGGGAGGGGTGGAGGTTGCAGTGAACTGAGATTGCAACACTGCACTTCAGTCTGGGTGGCAGAGTGTGAGACTCCATCTCAAACAACCATCACCACCACAACAAACTTGCAATAAAAATACTTTGCTGTGTGTGGCCATTTACCAAAACACACATATATATGGAGGGTCTATTAAAAAAAGGAGGAATGAACAGAATGGGGCTGTGACTGGATGTGAGGACGAGGTAAGAAGAGATGG